AAAGAGATGAGGTAGCAAGACGACTGATGCTTAGAATAAAATAGAGGAAGTTGTGGTAAACCTAAGAGATATTGCAACAAAGCAACTAAATGTTATGGATATGATGGTAATTCGTGCTGATAGAATATGGATATAAGAATAAAATATAAAACTTTAAAATCACACCACCCGGGGGATAGGGGATTGCTTCACAGGGTGACAAAACAGCAGCTGGGGCGAGGAGGAGTAGGTGTGTCATTAACATATGAAGTGGACCTAGCCCGCAGAGGAGAGAGCCCATGAAGATGTTCATCTCAGATAGACAGGACCATCAAGGACATACATCTGAATGCAGGATTCCGGAATGAGGAGCCCATACACATCAGTTCCCAGACAAGGCTTTGTCCAGAGCAGGACAGAGAATAGACACAACATGAATATGAAGAACTCCGAGGAAAGACAAAGGGACTCTGAGCAGGCAAGAAAAAGAGTATAAATCATGTAGCAGACACCAGTGTAAGGCCTCCCTCCAGATGACCATAAGAAAGACAGGAATCTAATGACCACCTGGAAAGATTATGAAATTTATCATCCCAGATTATTGGAGAGCAGGACAGAGAATAGACACAACATGAATATGAAGAACTCCAAGGAAAGACAAAGGGACTCCAAGCAGGCAAGAAAAAGAGTATAAAGCCTGGACTCTGCCAAGCAGCATGTGTGAACAGAGGGTGTTCGGTGCGATAGAGACTGGATCTGAGTTCACCCAGCTCTGATCCCGGGGTTGGTGCTGTCCTCGATTGTTGGCTGTCGGGACTGTACATCGGTCGAGAATAAATTTACTTTTTATTTTTATTACAAATTGGCTGGATCAATTTTTAGTTTTAACACTTAGGTATAATAAAAAGCGTGATACGCTTGACAAAATCATGTAGCAGACACTAGGGTAAGGCCTCCCTCCAGACAACCGTAAGAAGGACAGGAATCTAACGACCACCTGGAAAGATTATGAAATTGCTGATCCCAGATTATTGATATTTGCTGATTTGGACTAACCAAGCACATTGGAAAATGTTTTGTAGGCTTACAAACAGTATATATTCTCTGGTGAACTTGTAGTGGCGTGTGCTGTGAGTGGAGCAGTGACTCCCCGGCCACCCAGCGCTGCTTGTTTGCTTACTTTACAACAAAAGATATAAAAATGAAATTTGGTTTGCCTATTGAAATTTTATATCAATGCCAAGTCCCCCCAATCCTGTCTGCCTGGTGCAAGGGGCACCTACTCCCCTCCCTCCACATGTCCCAGGTGTGAAAAACACCTTCACTCTCCCGTGAAAATTTAAAAAGTTTAATAAAAGACAGTAGGAAATAAAGCAAAGGGTTAAAAATGGCCATTCAGCCAAGAGCACACTGTTATCTTTGGAGATATCCCTTAAGTGCCTTTTAATTACATCAGCCTGTTGCATATTCATGAACAATTATGCAGAGTAAAGTTTTCCCCCAAACTAGTTTGCATGTTCCCATAATTGTTAAGCATGGTTGCTCATTGGATTCTCATTTTCAGAGCCTGTGTATTTCTGGGTTGTGCTTTTAGTTTTTTTTATCATCACCTCCAGTTTTTGGGCCCTGGGTCCACACTGCCTTCAGCCAGTGAGTGCTGATGGTTGGCAGGTCTGTACAGGTGTGCTCATCCTGTGTTCACTGGCTGTTATCCCATCCCAGCAGGCATTTTAGCACAAACACACTGAAATCAGCTATTTCACTGATATGTCTAAGCTTAATTAACAACGGAAATAAAAACTGTATCTTTATAACAAAGTTATTTTAACACCACACATATAAAATCTATTTTAATATTTGCAAAAAGCCAATATTATATGTATCTATAACACAGGGTTTTCTGCTGGCAACAACGGAGGGGAGAAGAGAGGATTAAAGGGAGGACAAAAAAGGGGTCCAAAAGCAACATACAACAACAGAGTCACATATCAAAAGAACTTTAAACCTTAACAAAGCTTCTTTTAAGAGACATAATATCCATTCCTCATTTGTGAGAGCAAATCACCACACCACATAAGACAAATTATTTTGGCTGGAATAGAGTTGATTCCGTCTGTAATTGCACAGTAGCTGGCACAGTGCTGTGCTTTGACTTTAGTATGAGAAGAACACTGATAATGTTGCCCACAAAAATTGCATTGATTAACTGGTGTGTAACAAGCCAATAATTACACACTCGAGGGAGATATAGATTATTTATGTCAGAGTTGCACAGGCTTGGGTGCTTGATGGAATTCCACAAATCAAGCACGCCAAATATTAAAACTTTTTACTATTTATACATTTTAGCAAACAAAGGAATTAGTGTTAATTGGCTACATGTAACATAGCTCTTTTATTAATTAGTATTCTGTCTTCTGTTGGGCAATGATTCTCTCATTTCTCATGCTAATTAGTCCACATGCGGAGTCTTTATCTTCTTCTGGGTCAGGGGGTTTCTAGGCTCTGTGGTCTGTGTGTTGGTGGCTGTGATCTACCCCGACAGAATTATTTTTTACCCACTTGGAGCTGATTTTAACACAATTGCTGAGTTGGCTTTGTTAGTTTCTTCCATATCTTGGGAGTTCTGCCAGATGTCCTTGAAGGCTGTAACTTCTACATTACTGGTGCCCAGTATAGTGTTTTGTCCTCCTTCACAAGCTTTGTTGACCTCTGAGATGAATGAAACATGTCCAGCCTAAACCTTAACAAGGCAATTCCAGGAACAAGTTGTCTTTCTAACACCAGGATGTGACTTACAGTTTGCTGGCTGCTCTCTATTTCATAGAATAAATCTCTCTTCTTGTCCAGTAGTCTTGAAAGTATACAAAGACCACACATCAAAGAACGTAATTTCTTAAGAAAATTTAACATACTCTACATTTTGCAACAATAACACACTGATGATTTAGGTGCTCTGTTGTGTTTATCCTGTGTCTGGGGCTGTTTTAGTCCCCTGGTGCAACTGAAGCCAGAGCAGCAGAAGCTGCACCCCTGTCAGCTCAGAATGTCTCCCTGCACTGACTTGGAGAAAAAAAATTAGCAAGGTGTTAGAAGACCCCAGACCAAAACTTGGACCGGGGGGGTGTGTGCAAGCACATGTAGGGAGCAATTGCCCAAGTCACAGGAACATCATTGCCTGGGGATTTCTTTGCACCAGCTTGATCTCACCTGCTGTGCACTGCTCTATTCAATTATTTGCTTTTATAATTCTGATGCATGAGACTCTGCTTTGGGAAACCAAGGCATGGGCCCATCATTCTGCCTCTGCTTCATAGAACCACAGTATCATCAAGGCTGGAAAATCCCTCTGAGATCATCAGGTCCAACTATTCCCTCAGCAGTGCCAAGGTCCCCAACTACCACATCTATACCTTCTTTGAGCCTGTTCCAATGTCTTACCACCCTTTCAGTGAAAATTTTTTCCTGAATAGCCAATCTAAACCCCTCCTGGCACAACTTCAGGCTGTTTTCACCCACTTTATCCCTTGTTCCCTTGGAGCAGAGCCTGAGCCCCACCTGGCTGCACCTTCCTGTCAGGGAGTTGTGGAGAGTGAGAAGGACCTTCCAAGCCTCCTTTTCTCCAGGCTGAGCCCCCCCAGCTCCCCCAGCTTCTCATCAGACTTGTGCTCCAGTTGTTTCTTCTCCTCCCTGGACAATCCACACTCACAGCCCCCTTCTCCTCGGGGCAATCACCCTCTTTTGGAACTGACTTCAAATGAGGAGTCTCATACATATGGGAGCAAAGGCACTGACCTTCAATCCCCTGATTTCTTTCAGGGGAAGAAGATACACTAGAAGGTTTCCCACGTTCTAGTTGGCAGTTACAGGACAAGGTTTGTCTAATTTTGCCTAATTTTTTCTAAATTTGCCTAATTTAATTCCAGCAGGCGACTGAAGGTTTACCAGTGCTCCCTGGCAGCAGCAAGAGCAGAATCATCTTAAGGCACAAGAAATTGTGTGTTTATAGAACCCTTACTCTACGTCATGAGAGCAGTGTAAGCTTTTCGTGAGTGGAAATATGACAAAAGACATTTTCAAGCAGAGAGAAGCTTGCCTCTTCCAGTCCTGTCTGTAAAAAATATGTAGAAAACTGTTTCCAGGAGCCTAAGATGGTCTAAATCTGTCAAAGGATTGTGTCTCCCTTCGGACGTGATCTGCAGTGGTATTTTATTTGTTTGTAAAGATGGAAAAGGATTCAGTACACTCTTCCATCCTTCCTACTGGGAATAATGAAGGCTCTCCATATGCCTCATGCACCCCAAACATTCCCAGAGAAACACCTTTCCTCCTGACTGTGTGTGCCTGGAGTGTCCACAGAGGCAGGATAGCTAACAATCATTGTGTGAACAATCAGTGCGCAAACATCCCTGAAATACCCTCCCAGAACCATCCTGGTCAACACTGCTCTGCTTGAGCACCTTGAGATCATACCTGTAGGGGAAAGGATGACACAGAGGCATGGGCTGGGATGCAACAGAAATTTAATGTGTCAGAGGAGATAAACAGGTCAATCTAAAAGAGGAATCCAGTTCAGGAAGCACCAGGGGCAGGAGAGAGTTTGTGTCCCCTGGTTGTGGCAGAGATGCCAGCAGGTGTCCAGCTGCCTGATGCAGAGAGGGAGCAGGGCCAGCAGGTGCTGCCCAGGATGGCTGTGTGGGGCTCACAGCCCCAGGGAGCACAAGGGAACAAGGAGACAGGAGGGAAAGGAGAGAGTGTCAGGGGACAGAGGCAGGGCAGGGCTGTGCTTCCCAAGAGCCCAGGCTGGCCCTGTCCCTGGGCAAGGGCTGCTGGGCTTGCTCAGCCCCTCAGGAAGCAAGGAGC